TGTTATTACACGAAAAACCGCACTTTGACCGCGCTTTCAAATTTTCGCGAATTTCTGAAAAATAAAAATTCGCTGAAACCTTATAATATGATTTTTAGAGTAAGGTCACCTAAGGGTATCTTTGGGCAAAATATGAGCGATTTGCCAAATGGGTCGTTGACCGGCGTTTCTCGATCCTAACAGTCAGCCATTCTTAAAGCGCCCATTTAAGTCCTAGCTCACGTTGGTTAAGAACTTTGAGTTTGAGTGAACATTACCAATTCGCCCGAAACATATTTTTGGCTGTGAGAAGTTGTGAATGCTAAACGTACCATGGCTAAAAAATCGCAATTTTGACTCGATATCTCGACTCCAACCAGAAATACTGTTTTAACTTCCAGAAGTAGTGGGGAGTGCTACGACCAACAGTTTTAATGTATGAGCACAACACGGTAACAAAATTGTCGAGTTAGAGTGAAAATTAAACGATCTTTTCCTCTCATGTCTTCGTTTCAGCCACGTCAGTCAAGTTCAAACACGTTCTGAGCCTTAATTGACTTTAATTCTGCCGTTCAGTTATGTGCTTGAAGTATCCTCGTCAAAACAAAATCAGTTTCTCTTAGAATTTCTGATTGACATGTACGTTTAGAACGTAAACATACGTGTACTGCCATTATATTAAACAAAAGGAAATATGTGTTTATAAATATGTTTGGACAGTAAAAGGTTGGCCTGGCTAGCGGACACGTCTTAACATAATCGGCCGATGACGAACGAAATGGAATAGAGATTAACACCACAAATTACTTTTTTAAGTTCGTTCTTCGACTAAGGTGTATAGGGAAAACGGATTGAAATAGCATATCGAAGTTTCCTTTGCCATTCTATGGAAATCAGACTGTTCACTCTTGTATAGATGACCTCATTTCAGCCTGATGTGGCAGGGGGCTCAATGCTATTGGTTGAGTCCTCGGACAAAACAGCGTTTGCCTGAGTGACATTGAGAAGACCCATCCAGGCGAGGCTAGAAGCGTGGGAATTTACAAAGAAACGAGCTCTGACCGAACAAGATAACAGTTTGGAACTGAAACAACTATCTGCAGTTTTTGCTCACGGTAAGAAAAAGCTCTCGTTTTCTTTAGGACGTTGCAGATAAGTTTAAGCTAGCGGATTTTCAATTGTTAGCCTGTCTCAGATATGAGGGATTAAGTTGTTCAGTTTTTCAGTTTATCACAATCCGGGATGTTGGTAACTTTAAGGAAATTTCATATCTGTACCAGCACTCATACCGTTGATTAAGTAGTTCGGTATCTGCTAAAATACCGGATGGTTACGTTTAATGGGTCCAAAACAAACGTATTATAAAACGAGCAATGAACTGAATTCGCTCATGCGGAGCATAGCTGCAGACAGTATTCTGATAGATCAAACTTTCAGATATAGTATTTATTGCAGTTTCATTCCATGCCTAGGACAACTGCTGCTTGCAATGTACTAATGCTGGTGAGGTTTATAAATGGCAGCCAAACATGTTGAGTCTTGTGCTTTTTTTATGCCAATGCTTTTAAAGTTATTGTTCACCTTAAACAAAACAAACTCAAACTTACAAAAGGATGATTCTAGATGTAACATTGTTGCCTCTGCCAATCATTCCCAGGATTTTTGACAGAGCCCATCTCGCTGGACAGCTAAAATAAAAAAGCGCTAGAGAAGTTTACGTCAGAGATTTTTCAAGTACTTGAAAAGCTGAACGAGAGCGTGAGAAAAAAGAGAAGCAAAGAGTACGGAATAGATATTCAAGCAAGTTTGCTGAAGTCAAGAATATTCTTATTTCATTCTTCCATACAAAAAGTCGGCATTATTTCACCATGAAGAGAAAACTTCTAGAAGTAACTGTTCATTTTGCATAAGAAAACAAGTCACGTTGACAGTAGTGGACCTTTGTCGTCTGTGAATTAAAAGCAGTTTACAAGTTTGACTGAACATGCTTCAATGAGCAGATGAACCTCAAAACGAGTATGCTAGAAACTGCATTAACAGCATTTTCATCGCTAGCAACATCTACAGAAGGTCAAAGACTAGATTTGTAATGCATAGTTTGGCACGAATTTACTTTCCCTTACAAAGAAATCATGGGAGTATTACATTTTAATGTTCTTCAACTCCCTTGCTGGTTTTTGCTTGTTTGTATCATTCAATTTAACACGGAATAGCTAATAACCGTTGCAAATAAACGGCCATTAACGAGTAGTTCAATGGTGCACTACCATCTAACAGAACCATTTAATTAATCAACAAAGTCATCATAAACCATGCATTAGCTAACAGAAATGTAAAAAATAGTGTGAAATTTCTTCCAATACTCTTAATTCTTATTCAGTCAGGGGTGAGATTGTAGATTAAAGAAAGATCGCGTGAGTCATGGCACAAGAACTTTCGGAACACGCCTGGACACATGTAATGTAACCTTTTAATTTCTAACTGAGAATGAAAACAGATGACGTAAAGAATTGTTTGAGCTTAAGCTTTTTGTTTCTAGAACAAACGTCATTTAGACTATGGAAGAACCTGGACTTGTTGCCAAGATATTTTGACCGACCGCACAAAACGGTTTTACTACAGAAGTTACGGTCCATTCGCAAGTCGATGTTTGTGGGACTGAGTTTGACAAATTTTGCAAAGTTTCCAATTTTTTAAAGTTTTTCGAAAGAAGATCTGTAATTTCCCGGACACCTAGAGACATTGCCGAAAGGTAAGATAAAACCTTAATTCATTATAATGGTCGTTTGAGTTTGAAGCCTTCATTGCACACAAAGCTGCACAGAAAAACTCAAATTACAGACCTCAACCGTGGAAAAACATAACAGAAATTATATTTATCAGTGTTCTTCTAGTTATTTTATTTTGTATAGGAAACTTTTAATATTTGAAATATGCTGACTTTTATTTACTGCTTTCTGTTAGTTATTAATATTTCATGTAGGGCTTAAGATCTCGGCAGATTTTCCGTCACATTCACGTTCAAAAATCGATGCGTCATCTCAGACATCTCAACTTTTTTAAAAAGTCAAATTGAAATGACAGGTCAGTAAAATCGCGCGCCTCATTCTTTTAGAATTATGGTTTAGTGAGAGTAAAACTTGACAAGGTAGTTATTTATAGATTTAATTGATTAGTAACTGAACCGAGGAATGCAAATATCGGCTGCAAATGCAAAACGCAATTTTGTTATTTGTAGACTTGTTTGAAAAGATACGTGGCAAAAGAAACTCTGGTCTGCAGGATAAAAATATCCTCTAACTAGTTTTTCTTTCTTTCTTTTCTTTTTTAATTTTAAATTTTTAGTTTAAGTCTTCTTTTCTTGTCGGTATTATGTTCTATAATTAAAAGCTCTTTTTACCTTTGCATAAGTGTGTGTTAACCTGTCAAAATAGACCGGTCTGTTGCACGACACCTTTATATAACTCCACTTAACCGTGCAAAGGCTTAAGTTCCTTCTCTAATTTCTAAAGCTCCATCGAATTGCACAATGTCAGGCAATTTAATTCGGCGATTGTACCAGAGAGACGCGTAACAGCGGTGGTCAAGCTCAACCAAATCTGCCTCATAAGATCATCTTAACGTTTGTACATCTACTCTAAGCAAATTTTACGCACAGCTCATCTTTTTCATTAATTAGGGTCGTCGTCACTTTCTTTTATGAGGTACAATAAGGTGGCTATTTTCGGATCATCTTACTACGTCCGAAATAAATAAAGTGGTCTGAATTTGACATATTGCCTGTTTGGTGACGCAGATAACCGCTTTACGTTTGAAGAGTGATTAAATAGTAATGTTCGGTACAACACTTGAAGCACATAAAAAAGAAAAAAATGGCATTTTATAACATCTTTCACAATTCGGCTACCTCGAAAAATATATACATGCGTGTTTTGTTTACTACAGACCACGAGTGAGCATATCATTGTAGCAGCATCCCGCGGCGGAAGTTAATTCACCGCACTACAAAAAGCACGAGGCAGGTGTTTGGTACGTCCAGTATGCAAATAGAGTGCTGTTGTCGAATACAGAACACTTGATGCGTGCTTCAGTTTGAATGCAGCACTCCCTCTTGCCTTGAGCGACCAGTGTTGTTAATTCCAAATCATTGACGCCATTCGTCTTTCCACAGGTCTAAATGGAGTTTTGGTGGATCGTCTTGGCTGGATGCGGCGGAGGCCTACTCTTGGCCGCTTACGTGGCCGTGGTCGTGTATAAATTATTTCGACGCAAGAAGAGGTGAGACTGCTGCTACTAGTGTTAAGCTTTGTGCTACTGTTAAAATTCTTAGGTTGTTGGTTGACTTTAATACCTTTTCAATATTGACGACTTTATGACACAACTAATGATTTAGGCATGGTCATCTTCAAGCGCTTTTAAGGACGTTAGCATTTCAAGAAGATTTTGGAAAAAGTAATAATAATGATAACTGCAAAAACTTTAAGAGATAATAATCAATCTATTCAGATCCTTAACTATTCCGGCTTTCCAAAGGTAAGTCTATTATCATACTCCACAATTTACAGAAAAACGTTGAATGTAAGCATGCGTGGGTAAATGAGGTTCACTCCATGTACCTGCGGACAAAGCGCAAGTTTACCTTACGAAGCCTACCGAAAACTAAATTCCTTCGTGTAAGCAGTCACAGACAGCAGTTTCGGCTTTCTTTGGTCACGTAGGTATTCAGCTGATATTGGTGCGGTGCCGAAAAATTTAAATAAAATCACTCAGAATGCCGAAACTAAATTTAACCTTTAACCGCATGATAACAATTCACAGGGTGCTTACGTTGTGTTTTTTGTGGATAACGTTATTCCCAGCTAGCTTTCATAGAAGAGAGATTAATAAACAACACTCAGATCATGATTGCCGTGCCAGAGCTTGTTCATTCGAAAAATTACTGCTTTTGATGAGCTACTAAGACGCATAAATATGGGATGAGGAAACCATAGATGCCCTGCTTACCAAATCCAATACAGGTCTTGCAGTTTTCCCACTAACATTTAATTATTGCCTTCTGCGTATTTTTGCAGGGTGCAGATGAACCAATATCAGCACCCTGAACGTCTTACAGATGACAAAGATTGGACTACCCATGTCCATGCAAGAGAGGTTTCGGAGAGGAGGGCGGACGGCCTATGCATGGAAACTCTATCAGGGTCAACCAAACTTGGTCGAAAAGCGTCCATCCCGTCCGTTAACCAGTTCCTAGGGGCTTCGGAGGAGGTTCCAAATGCCTCGCACACAAATTCCGACGATAAACGAAAAGGACGTAGCAAGAGTCCAGGCCCGGAACCACAAGCATCGGCAGGTTTTAACCAAGACACTTCGCCTTATGTAGTGCCTGCGGCTGAAAGAAGCAGCCCCGAGGTTGTTCGAAGGTCTGAATACACCTGGGAGACTCTGCTATGTCAACCCAGCGATTTCAGAATTAAACGAAGTCAATCGTTTAACTGGGACGATCCTGAATACAGAAAACCCAAATGCAAGACTCGTTCCTTGAAGCTTGCAAGTGACAAGCAAGGTCAAGTGAAAAGAACTGTTCGGAGCAAATCTCTCAGAAGATATACGCATCGTGAATTGACCGTCTCAGGTGCTGCCGAAACAGCACCATTCGATAAAATTGTCATCTCCGTGAAAAGAGGGGACGACAACGCGAAACGAAACAAATCGAAGAAGAGCCCTAAGACTCAAAAAACTGTCAACGAACCAGGAAACAAAGTGACTAAAGCCGAAGGCACCACTAAAAATAAAAAGATCAACAGATCGGGGTCTGCACCATCTGCGAGGGCCAAGGAAAAGCTTGCTAACACTGAAGTAGAAGGCAGCCTAAATCGACGACATTCCTCTCGATGGATTCCAGATCCTGATTACCAAACTGTGTCGATGGAGGAGCTCGTTTCAGCAGCTGAGCAACAAGTCAAAGCCACCAGAAATGATAACGTGTGTGTAGTGGAGATCCACAACGTGCCAAGAGATCGAGATCCAAAGGTTAGTACATTAGTGGGAACTGCCACGTCTCAAGTGGTCGACACATCATCGAGCACCTCCATTCAACAGTCAAGTCCATCACATGAAGATCAAACGAACTGTAGCACCACAGTTGATGTGAAAACAATACCAATACCCGGTGTTGCCCAAAGGGTACCAACAGTTCTGCCGAACGATCAGAGCCCTGACAAAAACGAAGAGACAAATGTCTCTAACAAGAATACTCACGACAGAAGATTATCCGTCAAAAACCGTATTCAAAACCTCGAGACTCAGATTGTCGATGTACAGTCAAATACTCGCCACNGTTGGTTAAGAACTTTGAGTTTGAGTGAACATTACCAATTCGCCCGAAACATATTTTTGGCTGTGAGAAGTTGTGAATGCTAAACGTACCATGGCTAAAAAATCGCAATTTTGACTCGATATCTCGACTCCAACCAGAAATACTGTTTTAACTTCCAGAAGTAGTGGGGAGTGCTACGACCAACAGTTTTAATGTATGAGCACAACACGGTAACAAAATTGTCGAGTTAGAGTGAAAATTAAACGATCTTTTCCTCTCATGTCTTCGTTTCAGCCACGTCAGTCAAGTTCAAACACGTTCTGAGCCTTAATTGACTTTAATTCTGCCGTTCAGTTATGTGCTTGAAGTATCCTCGTCAAAACAAAATCAGTTTCTCTTAGAATTTCTGATTGACATGTACGTTTAGAACGTAAACATACGTGTACTGCCATTATATTAAACAAAAGGAAATATGTGTTTATAAATATGTTTGGACAGTAAAAGGTTGGCCTGGCTAGCGGACACGTCTTAACATAATCGGCCGATGACGAACGAAATGGAATAGAGATTAACACCACAAATTACTTTTTTAAGTTCGTTCTTCGACTAAGGTGTATAGGGAAAACGGATTGAAATAGCATATCGAAGTTTCCTTTGCCATTCTATGGAAATCAGACCGTTCACTCTTGTATAGATGACCTCATTTCAGCCTGATGTGGCAGGGGGCTCAATGCTATTGGTTGAGTCCTCGGACAAAACAGCGTTTGCCTGAGTGACATTGAGAAGACCCATCCAGGCGAGGCTAGAAGCGTGGGAATTTACAAAGAAACGAGCTCTGACCGAACAAGATAACAGTTTGGAACTGAAACAACTATCTGCAGTTTTTGCTCACGGTAAGAAAAAGCTCTCGTTTTCTTTAGGACGTTGCAGATAAGTTTAAGCTAGCGGATTTTCAATTGTTAGCCTGTCTCAGATATGAGGGATTAAGTTGTTCAGTTTTTCAGTTTATCACAATCCGGGATGTTGGTAACTTTAAGGAAATTTCATATCTGTACCAGCACTCATACCGTTGATTAAGTAGTTCGGTATCTGCTAAAATACCGGATGGTTACGTTTAATGGGTCCAAAACAAACGTATTATAAAACGAGCAATGAACTGAATTCGCTCATGCGGAGCATAGCTGCAGACAGTATTCTGATAGATCAAACTTTCAGACATAGTATTTATTGCAGTTTCATTCCATGCCTAGGACAACTGCTGCTTGCAATGTACTAATGCTGGTGAGGTTTATAAATGGCAGCCAAACATGTTGAGTCTTGTGCTTTTTTTATGCCAATGCTTTTAAAGTTATTGTTCACCTTAAACAAAACAAACTCAAACTTACAAAAGGATGATTCTAGATGTAACATTGTTGCCTCTGCCAATCATTCCCAGGATTTTTGACAGAGCCCATCTCGCTGGACAGCTAAAATAAAAAAGCGCTAGAGAAGTTTACGTCAGAGATTTTTCAAGTACTTGAAAAGCTGAACGAGAGCGTGAGAAAAAAGAGAAGCAAAGAGTACGGAATAGATATTCAAGCAAGTTTGCTGAAGTCAAGAATATTCTTATTTCATTCTTCCATACAAAAAGTCGGCATTATTTCACCATGAAGAGAAAACTTCTAGAAGTAACTGTTCATTTTGCATAAGAAAACAAGTCACGTTGACAGTAGTGGACCTTTGTCGTCTGTGAATTAAAAGCAGTTTACAAGTTTGACTGAACATGCTTCAATGAGCAGATGAACCTCAAAACGAGTATGCTAGAAACTGCATTAACAGCATTTTCATCGCTAGCAACATCTACAGAAGGTCAAAGACTAGATTTGTAATGCATAGTTTGGCACGAATTTACTTTCCCTTACAAAGAAATCATGGGAGTATTACATTTTAATGTTCTTCAACTCCCTTGCTGGTTTTTGCTTGTTTGTATCATTCAATTTAACACAGAATAGCTAATAACCGTTGCAAATAAACGGCCATTAACGAGTAGTTCAATGGTGCACTACCATCTAACAGAACCATTTAATTAATCAACAAAGTCATCATAAACCATGCATTAGCTAACAGAAATGTAAAAAATAGTGTGAAATTTCTTCCAATACTCTTAATTCTTATTCAGTCAGGGGTGAGATTGTAGATTAAAGAAAGATCGCGTGAGTCATGGCACAAGAACTTTCGGAACACGCCTGGACACATGTAATGTAACCTTTTAATTTCTAACTGAGAATGAAAACAGATGACGTAAAGAATTGTTTGAGCTTAAGCTTTTTGTTTCTAGAACAAACGTCATTTAGACTATGGAAGAACCTGGACTTGTTGCCAAGATATTTTGACCGACCGCACAAAACGGTTTTACTACAGAAGTTACGGTCCATTCGCAAGTCGATGTTTGTGGGACTGAGTTTGACAAATTTTGCAAAGTTTCCAATTTTTTAAAGTTTTTCGAAAGAAGATCTGTAATTTCCCGGACACCTAGAGACATTGCCGAAAGGTAAGATAAAACCTTAATTCATTATAATGGTCGTTTGAGTTTGAAGCCTTCATTGCACACAAAGCTGCACAGAAAAACTCAAATTACAGACCTCAACCGTGGAAAAACATAACAGAAATTATATTTATCAGTGTTCTTCTAGTTATTTTATTTTGTATAGGAAACTTTTAATATTTGAAATATGCTGACTTTTATTTACTGCTTTCTGTTAGTTATTAATATTTCATGTAGGGCTTAAGATCTCGGCAGATTTTCCGTCACATTCACGTTCAAAAATCGATGCGTCATCTCAGACATCTCAACTTTTTTAAAAAGTCAAATTGAAATGACAGGTCAGTAAAATCGCGCGCCTCATTCTTTTAGAATTATGGTTTAGTGAGAGTAAAACTTGACAAGGTAGTTATTTATAGATTTAATTGATTAGTAACTGAACCGAGGAATGCAAATATCGGCTGCAAATGCAAAACGCAATTTTGTTATTTGTAGACTTGTTTGAAAAGATACGTGGCAAAAGAAACTCTGGTCTGCAGGATAAAAATATCCTCTAACTAGTTTTTCTTTCTTTCTTTTCTTTTTTAATTTTAAATTTTTAGTTTAAGTCTTCTTTTCTTGTCGGTATTATGTTCTATAATTAAAAGCTCTTTTTACCTTTGCATAAGTGTGTGTTAACCTGTCAAAATAGACCGGTCTGTTGCACGACACCTTTATATAACTCCACTTAACCGTGCAAAGGCTTAAGTTCCTTCTCTAATTTCTAAAGCTCCATCGAATTGCACAATGTCAGGCAATTTAATTCGGCGATTGTACCAGAGAGACGCGTAACAGCGGTGGTCAAGCTCAACCAAATCTGCCTCATAAGATCATCTTAACGTTTGTACATCTACTCTAAGCAAATTTTACGCACAGCTCATCTTTTTCATTAATTAGGGTCGTCGTCACTTTCTTTTATGAGGTACAATAAGGTGGCTATTTTCGGATCATCTTACTACGTCCGAAATAAATAAAGTGGTCTGAATTTGACATATTGCCTGTTTGGTGACGCAGATAACCGCTTTACGTTTGAAGAGTGATTAAATAGTAATGTTCGGTACAACACTTGAAGCACATAAAAAAGAAAAAAATGGCATTTTATAACATCTTTCACAATTCGGCTACCTCGAAAAATATATACATGCGTGTTTTGTTTACTACAGACCACGAGTGAGCATATCATTGTAGCAGCATCCCGCGGCGGAAGTTAATTCACCGCACTACAAAAAGCACGAGGCAGGTGTTTGGTACGTCCAGTATGCAAATAGAGTGCTGTTGTCGAATACAGAACACTTGATGCGTGCTTCAGTTTGAATGCAGCACTCCCTCTTGCCTTGAGCGACCAGTGTTGTTAATTCCAAATCATTGACGCCATTCGTCTTTCCACAGGTCTAAATGGAGTTTTGGTGGATCGTCTTGGCTGGATGCGGCGGAGGCCTACTCTTGGCCGCTTACGTGGCCGTGGTCGTGTATAAATTATTTCGACGCAAGAAGAGGTGAGACTGCTGCTACTAGTGTTAAGCTTTGTGCTACTGTTAAAATTCTTAGGTTGTTGGTTGACTTTAATACCTTTTCAATATTGACGACTTTATGACACAACTAATGATTTAGGCATGGTCATCTTCAAGCGCTTTTAAGGACGTTAGCATTTCAAGAAGATTTTGGAAAAAGTAATAATAATGATAACTGCAAAAACTTTAAGAGATAATAATCAATCTATTCAGATCCTTAACTATTCCGGCTTTCCAAAGGTAAGTCTATTATCATACTCCACAATTTACAGAAAAACGTTGAATGTAAGCATGCGTGGGTAAATGAGGTTCACTCCATGTACCTGCGGACAAAGCGCAAGTTTACCTTACGAAGCCTACCGAAAACTAAATTCCTTCGTGTAAGCAGTCACAGACAGCAGTTTCGGCTTTCTTTGGTCACGTAGGTATTCAGCTGATATTGGTGCGGTGCCGAAAAATTTAAATAAAATCACTCAGAATGCCGAAACTAAATTTAACCTTTAACCGCATGATAACAATTCACAGGGTGCTTACGTTGTGTTTTTTGTGGATAACGTTATTCCCAGCTAGCTTTCATAGAAGAGAGATTAATAAACAACACTCAGATCATGATTGCCGTGCCAGAGCTTGTTCATTCGAAAAATTACTGCTTTTGATGAGCTACTAAGACGCATAAATATGGGATGAGGAAACCATAGATGCCCTGCTTACCAAATCCAATACAGGTCTTGCAGTTTTCCCACTAACATTTAATTATTGCCTTCTGCGTATTTTTGCAGGGTGCAGATGAACCAATATCAGCACCCTGAACGTCTTACAGATGACAAAGATTGGACTACCCATGTCCATGCAAGAGAGGTTTCGGAGAGGAGGGCGGACGGCCTATGCATGGAAACTCTATCAGGGTCAACCAAACTTGGTCGAAAAGCGTCCATCCCGTCCGTTAACCAGTTCCTAGGGGCTTCGGAGGAGGTTCCAAATGCCTCGCACACAAATTCCGACGATAAACGAAAAGGACGTAGCAAGAGTCCAGGCCCGGAACCACAAGCATCGGCAGGTTTTAACCAAGACACTTCGCCTTATGTAGTGCCTGCGGCTGAAAGAAGCAGCCCCGAGGTTGTTCGAAGGTCTGAATACACCTGGGAGACTCTGCTATGTCAACCCAGCGATTTCAGAATTAAACGAAGTCAATCGTTTAACTGGGACGATCCTGAATACAGAAAACCCAAATGCAAGACTCGTTCCTTGAAGCTTGCAAGTGACAAGCAAGGTCAAGTGAAAAGAACTGTTCGGAGCAAATCTCTCAGAAGATATACGCATCGTGAATTGACCGTCTCAGGTGCTGCCGAAACAGCACCATTCGATAAAATTGTCATCTCCGTGAAAAGAGGGGACGACAACGCGAAACGAAACAAATCGAAGAAGAGCCCTAAGACTCAAAAAACTGTCAACGAACCAGGAAACAAAGTGACTAAAGCCGAAGGCACCACTAAAAATAAAAAGATCAACAGATCGGGGTCTGCACCATCTGCGAGGGCCAAGGAAAAGCTTGCTAACACTGAAGTAGAAGGCAGCCTAAATCGACGACATTCCTCTCGATGGATTCCAGATCCTGATTACCAAACTGTGTCGATGGAGGAGCTCGTTTCAGCAGCTGAGCAACAAGTCAAAGCCACCAGAAATGATAACGTGTGTGTAGTGGAGATCCACAACGTGCCAAGAGATCGAGATCCAAAGGTTAGTACATTAGTGGGAACTGCCACGTCTCAAGTGGTCGACACATCATCGAGCACCTCCATTCAACAGTCAAGTCCATCACATGAAGATCAAACGAACTGTAGCACCACAGTTGATGTGAAAACAATACCAATACCCGGTGTTGCCCAAAGGGTACCAACAGTTCTGCCGAACGATCAGAGCCCTGACAAAAACGAAGAGACAAATGTCTCTAACAAGAATACTCACGACAGAAGATTATCCGTCAAAAACCGTATTCAAAACCTCGAGACTCAGATTGTCGATGTACAGTCAAATACTCGCCACCCCCAAGGAACAGACCCAACTAAACATTACACGATGGTTATAGAAGCCCCACTGACAATCGACATCAACAATAATTCCCAGACGTTGCCGAACTGGAGACAGAAACAAACTGCACGAGAGGCGAGAAACGAGCCAACCAACGAGAGCAATCAAATTGGTCAGCCATCGTTGAAAGCTAAGCCAAAAGTCGGGTCGATAGGCAAATTAACCCTCGTCAAACATGTGGAAACGCCCGCTCGAGGAGGAAACCCTGAAATAACTCCTGAAAACCCCACAAGAGAGGATCCCACAAAGAGTTTTGAAAATGCTTCGTCGATCCAGATGAGGCAACTAACAGATACATCATCGCCAAGAAATGCGACTTTGCTCGTAAGGAATTCCGACGAGCAACGGGAAAACGACACCTCACATGTACCAGTCTGTGCAGCACCACCAGCACCGCCACCACAACCTTTCACAGTGGATTCACAGTCTTCCCGCCAAGTCCTGGGCAATGAAGTCAAGATAACTATTGTACCAAAAGACAGACAAGACGCGACCTCCGTGTTAAATGGGGCAAACGCGCCAATAGCAAGAGACACAGACACGAATCTCACTTTAGAAGAAAGGAAGAAGACCTGGAAGCGGGAGCAAATTTTGGATCAGCTCCACAGCGCCCGCGCAAGGAATGGAAACCAGAACTACATATTTGGCACAGGGTTGGCGTACCAGTCGTGCATGCCTGAACTACAAAATAAACTCAATCAGCTTACGCTTGCAAAATGATTTAGTGCAAACTGATTATTACCGCCGGGGTGAATCAAATTAAGATATAAAAACTAGTGTAATCTTTGACGAATTATTCGTCCTGCTGCATAGCTTACGGTCAAGCTCCAATTTATTAAGATTCTGTTGTTTAAAGTTTGGTCTTGATTGGATATGGGTGTAGTAATAGCAAGTGAGATTTTCCGTCATGAGTAAGATGCTCCCAAAGAACTTTTGTAGTATTTTCTTTGAACATTGTTTTCTAATATATGCGAATGAACAGTCTAAATTGTGAATATTGCAACCAGGATCGAGAAGCTTCATTGAGATTCGCGCTTGGGAGCAGGAGTTTAAACACACACTGACTTTTAAGGTGGCTCCACAGGGTAATCATTTATGTCGTTGCGCGCGCAAGTGTTATGTTTTAATACTGTTTTTGCATTCGCTTTCACACCTAGTCCTCTCAAACTTATTACACGTAATAACCAATGTTTAAATAGTATTTTGCTATCATCTCTGTTAAAATTTTGGAATTCAGTCTTGAATTATAAATTCCCAAACAAATGTGTTTTTTACTGTTTTTAAGGCTTTATTTGTGATTTTCATGAATTTCCTTCGGTGATCACATCAATTCCAGCGGGAGACGAATTTTAAACACGAAAAAAGTAGGGTTTGTGAAGGCAGTTTTTTCGATATTTTCAAATTTATGTCTTTTACCGCTGGAAAAAATCTGGTCTTCTAGATTTTCCCAATCTGCCAAATTTTACGGAATTTCACCGAAGGAAACGCGAGAAAATTCACTGTCAGTTTTCCTCATGTTGACGTACTAAAATATCGAAAAACACCGACGTTTTCCTTTGAACGCGCGCAGATTATTTGAACTTCAGTCCTCAGCGCTCGTGCGATCGTGAAACTATAGGGAGCCACCTTAACTACATGTAAGAAGTTGTCGTTGTTGATAACCATAAATTAAGTTTTGGGCGCTGACTTTTTTGGATGTCAGCTTTGTAATTATAAATTGATCATTTTAAATGCAGCTTCTTTTAGGCCTTGCCTGTTCTTACTTAGGAACTATAAGGTTATTTTATTAAAGAGAATTTCTGCCGGGTATTTGTTATTCTTAGTTTGATTGCATTAGGTTTGACGATAGGCAGTAACTTTTTGTCCTCAGTTTGGTTTAATACAATAACAGCCACAGCCATAGAAAGCGGTTTTGACAGTCGTTATCCACAACAATGCTTGTTCCAAAGCCACGATATACGAATCAAGACCAGCGATTTTGTCGTTCACACAAGGAATTACGATTATTAATTGGATAGAAGAGTGTTCTTCTAAGCAGTTTGCGAGGCGCAAATACTAAAAACTTTATACGTGAAGATGCAGGCCATGAATGATGTCTAGTACAGTTTCATCACCTCCACTGTGAAAAAGAAGCACCGCTGGGACTCCTGTAAAAAAAAAAAAGTACAAAATAACCTTGGAATCGAAAGAAAACTTTAACGTTAAAAAACAATACTCCTTCCTGCGTATGTTCCATTATATCATATAGTCACTTTCCCTCACTACCTGCCCACATTATGGCAAAGTGCAATTTTAATTACTGCTTAAAGCACGGTAAATGATTATCTTTCAAACTTTTCTACAAAATTTTGTCGGAGCACGGAATTCCTTTGCGATCCACCTTACAAACGCTAGCGTCCGATTTTTTTTCTTGAGATATAGGTAACACTCCCCATATTATGCTGTTTTTCAAGATCACAGGTTTTCCCTCATTAAATAAAGTTATTACTAGTAATAACCAAAGGTCAGGAAATGCGGGCGAGGACGATGCTTAGTGCTTTGGGTTACTAAAAATGTACCAGAGTTGTTCTGAGTTGTAATCAGTGGTGCATTGAGATTAATTTTTAATAGGTGCGTTATACATGGTTCTTGGGGTAATGACATATTTTGGGGCCAGAAGTAAAATGTTCCGCTTCGCGGGGCTAAAATATTTGCCCATAAGGGTAGGTTGAACGTTCAGCAGCACCCCTTTTCCTTTTTGCCAATTTATGTGCTCAAAAGTGTACGTGGAGGTGTTGCATAGAGCAATTTCACTAAACCTATGAGACAGTCACCTACACTATAAAATTCCATGATACACTAGTTTTGTCGTTTTGTTTTGTTTAGTTTTACTGTAATTGTGTTTTTTCTTTTTTTCTTTTGTTTTTCTTTCTTTTTTTGTCACATAGTTTTATACATAGATCATATTTCCGGCTGTAATTATGTAATCTAAGCTTATTCTAAAATTGTTTGTCGCGCTTTGTCACGCTATACTTAACTTTACAACTCCAAGGACAAGAACAGATAACAACTCGCTCGAGGTGGACTTCAAACGCGACATGAACACTGAACAGGAAACGTCCCAAGTCGACACACTCGATTTGGATAGGACGGCGCTGCTATGCTTGAGTTCCACGTGATCCAAGGTCCAAATACGCGTAATGCGCGTGATAAAATCGCGTTCTTTGCATTCCACCCGAACGAAGCAAAAATCGAGTCAGGGCCAAACTATACAAGTTTTCATCGGTTGCTGCTCTTCTTTTGACATCATAGCGAGAACTGAGTATTCTTTAAAACTGTTTCTTTCCATTTTCAATCTTTTAAATGTATATTAACACTTCAATGATGCAAAACTTTGGCTTTGAAGATCTAGCACACTGGTCGACTCGGCGGCCATCTTTAAAAATATTCTTGTTCGAGTGAAAATGGATTCTGATTGGTTTACGAGGATTTATCGATCGATTTTGCCAGAACAAAATTGCTCCAAAATCGAGATATGGCGTGCAAAATAGGTTGCGGGCTCCTCTTGAGCCCGCAATTATTATAGGCCAATTTCGATATATTAAAATTCTAACTTGGTTCCAAGGCATAAAGGGAATAAAACAAAAGCAATTACAAGTTACAATTTTAATATATCGAAATGACCTATTTGGTTTACTTACTGCGAGCCGCCGCCGCCGCCGCCGCCGAACGAGCCAAAGGAAGGGGCTGTTTGTTGTTGTTGAATACCACCAAACCCTTGTGTCCCCGGCATACCAGCTACAGCGCCAAACGATGGAAGGCTCGACTGGGTTGCCAAGGCACCGAATGTAGAGCTGCCTTGAGATCTACAGATCAAAACAAATTGTGTGAGGTTTCAAACATACTGGTAGCTATCATAAAATGAAGTTTGATCACCAGCTTGCCACTCTTCCCTCTAAAAAAGGTAACGGTGCAGCAACCTTGTTATATTAGAACCGTTTAACATCGGTTTGGAAATATCCCCCACATTGCCTTTTTAAAGGAACGAAATATCATTTGGTAACTCCTCTCGCTTTCAGTTTCCAATTGTTTTTTTTTTTTTCTTTTAAGTTAACAATGAAAGAAACGTACTGTCCAAATCCGCCAGATGGTGCACTTCCAAAGACCCTAAAATTAAAATACGTTAATTACACTTTTATATATACATAGTACAAACATTATACCGATAATTTTTACACATATTGCTTGAAAGTGTAATTTAGTCTGACAATTGAGCAACCACCTGCCACCGTTGAAAGTTAAGGAATACGTAGCAGTTAACATAGGCACAGATAGACGAGATGGAAGGAAGAAAGGCAAAGAGTTACAGGTTCCATTTGCCAATACCAATGTCAACTCAAGGAAATGAAGGTTTCAACTGTCGTAACCTTTCGACACATTTGAACCACCATACTATGCAATCTGTTTATATAACTCCCCTTCCCCACCCCTCCTTCCTAAAAAAAAAAATAAAATAAAATAAAACAAAAAAAGAGTAAAGATTTGTTTGACACTCACCCGCTGGATGAACTAGCACCTAGGCCTGCTTGAGGAGAGCTTCCAAAGGCTGGAGCTCCTCCAAATGAAGGAGCGGAACCAAATGAAGGCGCACCGCCAAACACGGACGCCCCAGCAGAGGGTGAGCCAAAGGGCTGTGGTGAACCGAACCCTGTGGTACCTGGGAGAGAGAGTTTCCATGAAGCAGTTATACAAAAGGTACTCTAGCAAGAAACCTTAAAGGGAAACAAATGCAGGTTACGGTTATGTTTACCAGAGGGTGATGAAGCACCGAAGCCAAAACCAGAGGCAGCCACAGTTCCACCTTGAGCGCTGAACGAGCCCCCTGAAAATCCACCAGATGATTGGGTTCCAAATCCAGATTGAGAAAAAGGGCCACTGTGAAACGCTGGCTTCGGTGAATCAGTCATCTAGAAAATACAACCATTCGAACAAATGTAGATAGGATTTAGACTGGCAATGTCAAGGATGGAAAGTGGCAACTTAAGAGACACATTTAAAGACTTACATGTAACGCTTGAGATTTCAGTTAAGGTCCATCATATATTTCATATTCCTTCTAACTTACATCACGATTTGCGATCTCTAGTAAATTCACAAGATCAACCTGGAGCTAGTATTACGTTTCCGGAATAGACCACTTTCGATATATTAAAATTCAGCTTGGCAATAAGGCTTAGAGGACACACAATGGAAATTGAATGGCCATGTTTATTCATTTCTTTTGTTTGTGTCCTCTAGGCCTCACTATCAAGCTGAATTTTAATATATCGAAAGTGGTCTATTATCAGTGTGTTCAGGAATTCTAAGAGACCTGGGGTTCAACAAGGTCGTAGATTCTTTAAACGGGCCCAATAAGTATGCTTTGACAGTGAAAAAATCTAAAGACCTCAAACTTTAAGCTTCATTCAATGAATATCATATCAGTATTCGTCCTACATGTAGTTAACCCCGTGATACCGCAGATGTTACGCACAGTTTAGTTAACAAACCTTAAATACATCAACTCCTGACTTTCCACCAAATAACGAGGACTCTGGAGTGAGAAACAAAAGTAAAGGACATAAAAATTCATCCGTGTTGTCATTTAGTGGTTTATTAAGGTTGTTTTTACACTTTCTTCCATTACTAATCTGTGGGAACCTCACCAGAAGTAACACACCAAGGGTCTTGAAATTGAGAACCAGTGCCAGGCCAGAAAAGCGCTTTGGCACATATCACTCAGCCCATGCATACCCCCTCATTTGTTACCTCCAAACAACGCCGAAAGCCAGGCTCGCTGTAGTATTACTATAATACTAACACTGAACAAGTACATACGTGTAGTAGTTGCCCCTCCAAATCCTTGTGCAACGCCAAAGGGGTTTGTCTTGCTGGCCTGTGAGCTGGCTTGTCCTCCTAAACCAAAGCCACCAAATCCAAATCCTAGGGCTTAAGTGAGTATTTAGAGTTTAATAGTTGGTTCTCTACCAAGCACAGTGTTATCTTGATTAGTGATTAGATACTGGGCCAGATAACCCAGCCATCAGAGTGCATGACTTCCTCGCTACTCGTGGATTAAAAAAAAAAAGCCAGAAAAAGTAATCGAAACTGCAGTTTAGAGCACATCGAAAAATAAACCATACCACACACCGTACAAGCCTGCAAGCTACGGAGGAGGACGGCCGCAGAGGCCCACCTATCACCCATTTCTGCCCCCTGCTTGGCGAAAATACGTAGAGTCCAAAGGGCGTGAAACATTTTGGTGTTCCACCGTATAACGAGGTCTGGATCTGTCCCTCCAACTGAATCACAAGCATATACAATAACTGACACTGGGGAGAAATGCTGAAGCAATGGTAAAAAATTGTATTGTGGCATGCTGGTCCCCTTAGAATTCTTAACTTACAGTACATCATGGTTACTTTCTTAATGTCTTAATCAGCTGTTCATGCCCACATTAAGGTTCCATTATGCAACAGTAATCATTCTATGGCACAAGTACCACCGGTGTAATGCCAACCTACAGTGTGTATTACAAGTTACTGTTGTTAGGATCTTCTCTTACCATTCTCAGCTGGCTTGGATGCAGTACTGAACCCCGCACTGGCAGTTGCCCCAAACCCTGATCCGGTACCAGCTGTTATGTTTGATGACCCAAATACTTGTGTCGGACCAAAAGTACTGCCTTGACTGCTAGCAGGAGAACTAAAAGGTGCAGGAGAAGTTCCAAAGGTGCTGGCCCCAAATACGGGAGTAGGAGCAAAGGCAGTGGATGGAGGTGCTTCAAAAAGGTTGCCAGCAGTAGTTGTTGCGGAGGGAGCTCCAACAGAGCCAGCTCCACTACTCACTGTACCCAGAGCCACACCAAAAGGACTTGCAGTACTCGAGACTTTGCTGAACAGACCAACTGCACTAGCGGCTGACGTTGAAGAATCTCTGGAAGATGGACTTGTTACTGTAGTTGTTGTCGCGGGTGGCGGAAGAGAAGTTAATGGGGAGCCTCCTGCTGGTGCCGAGGCATTTGTTGAAGCTGGAGTGATGCTGGGGAAGAATGGACTAGCACTGCTTGTAGCGGAAAAAGCAGATGCAGTGCCAGCAGATAAACTAAGCAGATTACCTGCAACTGTGGTGGTAGAGGGGGTTGTGGTGCTAGATTTAGCACCACCAAGAGAAACATCAAATAAGCTAGCTGGTGGGAATGCAGGTGTTGTGGTTGGGGCACCGAAAATGCTTCCAGGAACAGGAAGTGTCTTAGTTGCAGTTGTAGATGACACCATGCTGGACTTGCTACTTTCAGATAAAGCCTGTGCAAAAACGCCTCCTGCACTAGCAGATACAGGAAAACCAGATAGTGTCATTACTGTTCGGGTGCTGGTATCTTTGTTTTCTGATGGAGTCCCTTTAGAAGGCAGAGAAACCTGACCTTGTGGTGTACCGGAAGTGGATGCTGGATCCTTGGAAGCTGCAGTGGGAGCCGTGCCAAACAAATTGCCAGTGTTGATTGCAGGACCTCCTGGAGCAGATGCTCGCATCAAAGAACTCAAGATGCTGGGAGGATTACTGCTTGTATCACCACCACTGCCAAACACATTGCCAGCGATGGTAGATGCAGAGAGATTAAGATTCTTAAAGAAGCCTTCACCAGCTGGCACTGGAGCTGAAAATGGAAATCCTGGTGTTACTGTTGCTGGGGTCGTAATTCCACTAGAACTAGCGATGGATGGATTTGCAGTTGTCACCTGCAGGGTCTGTCACAATATAAAGACATCAAGGTTAGGTTCAATCTCTAACTAATTTAAATGGGTTATAATAAGATCCCATGTTTCCCATAATGAACTACCTCTGTAAGGAAAGGTTAAAAGTCTGTGTCTACCAGAGAAAAAGCTAACTTGTGCGGCCAGATATTCTCTAAAATCAAGAATAATCAAGTACGAGATAGCCAGGTAGAGACGGCGTAGCAAGCATTCCCGTACCAGCTAATAATTTTGCACAGCCAGAGGGTAAAGAACCCTTCGACTGCGTGAAAAGCTCTTCGCTTGTACTAGAGTTGGAATGGAGGAGAACAGCATACCGCAGAAAGACAATGTCATTCACACAAAACTTGCGACACTGGTCTTCATATTAACGCACAATGGAAACAAGAAACGTGGTTTGCAATTCCTCGTTAAATGTCTCTTCCTTTCTATGATCCGTTTAGTTCAATTTGTCACTGCTAAGGTTACAAGGTTTAAAGAGTAGTATAAATCCTTGTTATCATCATTCTAAACCAGATTCTGTCCATTCTTGAACTTACCTTCAATACCTCCTTCTTGTCTTCCTGCTTGGCATCTTGTTCCCCACTTGTGGCTGCTGCTGCTGCAGAACTTAATTCCCCAGCTGCAAATAAATTCCTACTCACTCTCGGACTTGGTGTGATACCTACAGCTGGTGCAGTGATGATGTTTCCTGGTTTTGCAGCACTGGGTGCTGCGACACTTGCTGCAGCTGTCTGACTGGGCACTGTGTCTTTTGCTTTAGTGCTAAAACTAAATGCACTTGGTGTTGAGGAGGCAGCCACAGAGGAAGCCCCAAAATTAGGCAAACCACCAGTTGGAGGAGCAAAGCTAAATGAACCGACAGTTTGAGGTCCTGTAAAAGGTTTCTGCAATCCACCAGTGCTGGAAGCTGTTGATACACTTGGGACGGCTGGAGCAAATGCAGGTTTGAAGACTAGCGTGGGATTCACAGTGACGTTAGGAGCAGCAGTAACTTTGGATGCACTTTCAGGCATTTGCAGTGGAGAGGTTGGAGGCTTGAAGGTAACCACTGGGGGACCGGGCTTACTGCTATCGCTAGATTTGAAGATGAATTCTGTACTACACTGTGGCTTTGCGGACGACTTTTGGGCTTCGGCTGTAGCGGCCATCAATGCTGCATTTGCAATGGCTTTTGCAGCATTGTTTTCTACATCATAGTCCTTAGGTTGTGCACCCCCTTGTGCCTGTGGTTTATAAGTTACTAGTGTTACTGGTTCGATGCTGGCTGAAGGGTCAAGGTTACTGCCTGACTGAGCAGCACCCTGGGATGCACTAGCTCTGCTCATGGCAGCCATTGCTGCAGCAATGTTGGGAGGTGTTTCTGTGCTAATGACCTTGACATTTGGAACAAAGTCGCTTTTTGCTGGAATAGTTGCAGTTGCTGTGGGCTGTCGAGATAAAATGTTATTTTACAAATTTTGTTTAAAGAAAGAACGAAAATAACCGACAGAGACCAACAGACAGACCGACAGACAGACAGGCAAGCAGGCCAACAGTAGTCACACTAAGCAATGTGAACTTCTTAACATTAATAAATCAAGTTTGACATGGACAAGTCACCCCGTCTAATTTCTAAAATGTAAAAAAACAGGACAAGGAGAGGAGGTATTGAATGCACAGTTAACTTAGGTTCAATTGCATCTCGATATCATGTGACTAACTTGTAAAGAATAGTGGATATTTCTTTTTCTTGAATAAGGACAATGTGCACATCAAATAATGAACGTTTTACCTCTGCCTTGGTTGCTGGAACGAAAAGACCACTTGGTGCTAATGCTGGTTCTGCTTTTGTTGGTTGAGGTCTAGGTGGTTTAATGCCGCCACCAACAGATTTATCAACTGCAGAAAATGCTCCGACCACAGTAGGCTGTGGGATGGACTTGGCGTGTGAACTTTCAACAGCTGCTGTGATCCTCACGGGATGAGGTGGCTTCTTCAAAACAGCCTCATCCTGTGAATTGCCCAAACTAAAACTCCCTTTTATGCTTAATGTAGGCTCAGAATGTATAGGTGAAGGATCTGGTCCACTAGCCGAGGCTTTGTGGATTGCATCCAAATGCCCAAGCTCTTTCTCTTGGCAGGGTTCCTCCTCCTGATACCCATCTTCTGCGAGACTTCCATCATCGTCAGACACCTTAATTTCTTCGGGGATAGCATCATCAAAGCTGAACCGTCCTTTAGATCCCTCTGCTGTGTCCTCTGGCCTTACGGCAGGTGTCGAAGAGAAGAATGGCACTTCAGGTCTACTAGTCTTCACTAGGGGTGTCTTGGTAACAGTACTTGGAACTGTAAGGGGAGCAGTCTAGCTGTTAGTCTTTAGTCTTGCAACGGGCAAGGACAAAGGGAGAACACAAGTAACCAGAAAGGTCGGCAACAATCGAGATTAACTAAATCTTGTTTATAGAACTGGCTTGTTCTGCCAGAAAATCCCACTAAAGGTTTAAACCATTACAAGTTTTGTATACGGTACTCGTATTTTTATTTTGTTCTAACTTGACCAAAATAATTGAGAGATTAAGTATGACGTTACGTCAAACTGCAAACGGCAAAAATGAAACTTTTGCCGTCTGTCTTCAGTTGTCTGTACAGTAAAGTGAAAATGTTTGTATTTGCGGTAATAGTAGAAGACATATTTCTATTTTTGTGTGATTTGTTTAAGGATTGCAAGAAAAGAATAAAAAATCAGAGGTAATCTTTGCAGTTTGCCGTCTGCCGTAAACGTCAAGCTTAAACTCTCTAATGCCTTGCTACGTGACCGGGTTTGCCTTGGCCAGTGCAAAACGAAAGAACCTGGAATTCAGAATTCACGAGAAAAAAGACGAAACGCAACCAACCATACTGTACAGTCCCAATGTTTTTAACAATACCTTGTTTAGTCTCAACGTTTATATTGTACGATATCCATTCCAATGTAATCCCAAGCCTTTTTTCATGAACTGTTTCTATTCTAAGAACATTTTGCAATGTGTAGTGGTTGTTTGGTTGTTATTGGTACAACCTCCGTAAGTCACAAAATGCAAAATTTCCTACTCCTACATATATTTTCTGATCAAAACAATAATTATAACTAGCACATAAGCCTGTTACATGTGTAATCTTGCTAAAAAAAAGTTTTGGAGGCATATCGTCCAGTTTGTGATAAAAATTGAACCAGATCCAAGAGTGTATCTACTAAGTAGAACTGAACATCAACTTACCAACCGTGCTCCTTCTTACTGGGGTGTTTCGTCGTTTCTGAAACATGCTTCTCAGCTGGGCCTGCTTTTGAGGAGATATTGGAGCTGTATATGGACAGAAAACTCATATTAACATCACTATGGACTTTAAAAGAGTGGGAAATTTGGTGAACAGAATGTGTTTGGGTTGATATTGGATCCTAAAACATAACTACAAAAATTATTTTCTTGTTTTTAAAAGGCCAATTTAAAATCATTTGACCGTTACTGTACTAAACCATATCGCACCTGATACATTTTTGATTGGCGATTTTAGTTCCTGTTTTGACACAGCAAAGGGATCACGCACAGAGGACAGGTCATCCCTGAAACAGAACCAAAAGTCAGTTCACTGATAATATCATGTCAGAACTGGAAAGAAGTGAAACATGTTTATAATTATAGCAATTATTTGTTACTGGCTTTTCAGCCTATTAGCACAGTAGTGCTAAATAACATGACATGTAAATAAGGTGATTTACAGGTGTAGGTTAGAAACTCGTTCTGCAATTTGTGTTAAACATCTTGATACATTTCTTAAAATTAGAAGTTATAGTTGCTAGATACCCATAACAAATCACTGATGTACGGGCTCTGTACCTTAAACTTGTTGTATTGAGTGGACTTCGCTGCCAGCTAGTTGACAACAGTTTGCGATTCTTCATTTCCTGCGTGATCTGTTCTAACTTGGCTGCCTAACAGATCCAATCATAGTTACAAATCACAGTCTTGTTGCATGACATGATACAACACGCAACAGTCAAGAAAGGTTAATTTAAAAAGGCGCCCGTACTCTTTTTTGGAGTTGCAATTCGCGATCTTTTCAAGGACATTCGTGGACAGATTTCCAGCTTTTTTCAAGGGATACCTTACGTCTTTCCACGACATGGAACTGTAAAATAAGGTCTTTCAATGGTCCAATGTACTTTTCACGGACTTTCAAGGCCTTAAATTTGGATTTCAAATTCAAGGATTTCAAGGACTTTCAAGGTGCATGGGAACCCTCTAAGATTGACTAACAAAGACTAAGATTAGATAGCGCCATAGAACTAACTTTGTACTTACTTGATCTTGTGTAATTTTATGGTGGACCTTCAAGGTCTGGTAAACCTCAACCAATGCAGGGCGCTGAATGGATCTGTCAAAGAAACTCTGCGAGTTATAAACGAAAATGGTACATATTTATTGCAAGCAATTCAGACATTTAGTATTGTCTATTTTTTCTTATTAGCCCATACAGTCAATCTCAAGCCTGTTTGGCTGCCTGCAACCATTGGCAGTGTTGTTAAAGTTCAATCACTCTCTTTATATGACACACATTCTCTTTCACTTTAGGTTACCTTTATGGCATAGAAAATTTTATGTAGTTATACAGTGAAATGTATCTAATCAGTTATCATTGCCACAAATGTTGCAAAATTGTACACAGGACTATAAATCCAGTAAAACTCAAACACATGCATGTCGTGGTCAACAACAATAGCTGGGATTTGTTTTACCTTTTGCGTTCATTTTCTTTGTTCCACTGTTCATCAAGAACCATGTTCACCTCCCTTAGCAAATATAAAGAAAGAACCATTTTACAGTTATGAAAACGTAAAAATTCCTATCCCATCCCATGTGATCCAATCCCATCTCCTCAAATGTCACATCACCCTCATCCCATCCTTATTTCAACTGATCTTGGTCCTCTTTGATAAACTAATATAACTAATGCACGTACCAAACAAGCAAATTACTTACCTAAGTGTTTTATCCAAATACAAATGGAGATTTCTGATCTCTCTCATCTTACTTGTGTTCACTGGATCCAGAGCTCTAGACTATAATTAAACAAAATCTTGGTTAGTATATAAACATTCACAGATGTTCTGTTTATCTTGGGAGATTGTTGAATTGCCTAATTACTTGAGTACCAGCTACATAACGCCATTGAACCGACATTAATACATGTACATGGATGCCACATATCGCATGGATAAAACCTGACTATTGAGAAAAATAAAGTGGTTCATATACATGCAACACTCTTTTGTACCATAAACAGGTGATAAGATTGAATATTTACTAGAAGGTACATGTACCTTTAACAACTGAACATATCTGTGGTCACTCTTTCTTTCCTGTCTAATCCTAAAGGAGTAAAAAGACAATTATAACTATTGTAAAACGGTATTTTGTCGGAATCAGTTAAGCACCCAGCAAAAATTTAAAGATTACATACATGTAGACTTAAAATTACTTTACTCACTTAAAATTCTGAAGCTTGCATGCTGAGTACTGATAATGCTGATGTTATACGTTACGTGAGAGGATATCTTATCTCAAGCTGCATGGTTCAAGGAAGCATTACTTTAACAAATACAAAGCACTTAGAAAAAAATAATATTGAGGACTGCTTCAGGTGATACAAATTCAAGTTGATCTTTGTGACCACTGACAGCTATGATTCAAACATAAGATTACCAATTATCGAAATTCATTTAACAATGGTATTAACCTGGCCACCATTAGTGCCATGTAATTCAGTTACCCTACCTGGCATCTTCAAGCATCTCAAAAGCTTCAAACAGTTTCCCTTTTTCGTCATCAATATCCTTGTGCTGTTCCTGTCACATTTGAGTAAAAGCAAAACAAGGAAATTTGATCCAGTGGCACAAGATAATTATAATACCCATACCGAGCTAGCAGCAGATAGTTTACGGACTGTACCCAAAGGATCTCCTTTCCTCCTACAAGTTACTTGTAAACCACTGCTACATGTATCTTTCCTGTCAAAGTCAAGAATTATCTCTCAAATGGCAAAAAAAAATGCATTCTAACATTCTTACTGAATTCTCCAACCTGCCCCAACCCTTCTCCCACCAACAACCCTCTGCATGATGTAAAAATGTAGGCACCCATACTATAATTATTTGGTAGAGCGCATGCAGAGGAAGGCATGCTCCAGAAACCCTCACAATGAACGACATAATCATAATCTGTAGCACTAGACAATCGGACAAAAGTTTGGTTATTTCACTTGTATCTAGTGCACATAACAAAGAATCATTTCTGTAAGTGATGATGGATTACAGGTGTATAATGGCAAACCTTTGTTGCACTTTTTATTTCTGACAATTTTGAGGCAACATCTTCTGTTCTCTTTCTAAGAGAAGCCAGATCCTTGTTATCATCTGTAAGGCGACAGTTGCTCTGCATGGTCTTGACATTGTCACATAACTTNGTGCTTTGGTCACAGCAGCTCTGGCAAGAGTTGGCTTTGGCTGTGCCAATAACCCTTGCTCTGTCAAGTGAGAAGGAACTGAGGAACTTGCCTTTGGTTTATCATCCCCTTTTGCAATTGAAGTAGTAGTGAGCAAAGGCGTTTGGAAAGATGATAGTCCACGATTACCAGGTTGGGTCTGACTACTAGATGTGGGTTTCACAAGCTGTGGGCTACTGGCTAAAGGTCTCTCCAATTCTGTTGCTGGGATTTGGGTCTGTGTTGGAAGCTTGAATGTAGCTGTCAACCCTGGCTGCTTTTGGTTAGTCAACAAAAAGGCACTGGTGGGGGCATTCCCCGAAGAGGAAACAGGTTGTTTTGGGTTGCCAAATGAGAAGGCACCAGCTGGAAGGTCCCCTGATGTACCCGATGAGGGTGCACCAGAAAACAAAGGAATGTTCTGCTTGGAGCTGGTAAATGACAAGGTACTAGCTGGTGTACTTGAAGGTGCTGCTGATGTTGGAGTCACTGATGAAAAGGAAACAGGTTGCTTGGAACTGGCAAGTGAAAAAGCACTTGCAGGGAGGGTCCCTGAAATCCCTGATAAAAATGTACCAGATGCAGATGAAAAAGTTTGCTTGGTTCCAACAAATGCAAAGGCGCCGACAGGAAGGTCTCTAGCAGTTCTAGGTGCAGATGGAACACTCTCTTTGGGAGCCAAGCCTGGTGTACCAGTTGACAAAGGACCTAAAATTGCAAGCAGGTATTAACTAAAAGTTAATAAAATTACAGAGAAGAAGGTGCTGACCATAAAAATGTTATATATTCACTGTAGTGCAGCATAGCCTGCAAACAAATAGATAGTACACAAAAGACTTTCACTGTAACTTATAGACTAGTTACAAATTAATTGAGGTGCTGTGAAAATCTGGGAGGTCAGTTTACTTTGGTACATGTGTACATGTAGGCCTACCATTGTCTAATGTAAACAAAGATTAAAAGAACCTTGAAACAAAACCCGTGGTTTGTAGTATACTGTAATGCTGCCCATTCTAGATTTCTACATCAGGTTACATGTACATGTATATTTATTGATCGAAAACACTGCATGCAGGTATGTCTGCTTGTTTGATTTGTCTGTGACTGTTCCTGGGTTTAATCGTGGGAAGGGAATAAATGAATCTCAGAAAACTAAAAAAGACACATCCCAACATGATCACCACCACAAGGTCCCAAATACATGTACATTTTGCTGTCAGTACCTCTTATATCATTAAACAACCTTGCAGTCTCTGCCTTGGTTAGCATAAATTTTCTGAAATTGAAACACCAGATGTGGAAGCTGTTCCCTCAAGGTGGCTGACACCCTTTACCTGCATTTGACGATATAATTGCTTTTCTTTGTCCTCCTAGGGGTAAAGGCTCCAGTGGCTTTATGATACTGTGATCTGTATTAGGAGTTTGATTCACCATATAAAATGGGCACAAGACACCATCTGTTGACAGAAGCATCATCATAGGGGCAGGAGAAAGGCGTTTCTCTCCTTCAATAACTGGTCTGGTTGAGCTAAAGTCAAATGCCAAACCCATGGGAAATGTCTCATCATTGTCGTTAGTCAGCGGCATCTCTGCACGTCCAGTTTCTTCAAAATTCCACTTTTCCCACGAGGTTGTAGCCTGTTCAAATACATGTATCATTGTCAGGACCAAAACTACCTTCCTCAGAGCGTAAAAGATGCAGAGGTTGCAGACTGTGTATAATTTACAGTACATGTGAAAAGTCATGCAACTTGTCCATTAATCATAGATACAGGGTTGGGATGGATATCAACGATGGATTATTCTTGATATTCATCAAAAACAAATTCAAAACCTTCCTTCAAAAGTTTACACATATAACAAAATAATCATTAAATTTTCATTGACAAGACAAGACAAATTGAAGAAAAAAAAAAATTAAATATTGGGTTCTCAGTCGTTACTTTTTACGTGGAGCTCGCTGCAGTTGGATCATATGGCCTGAACTTGACTGAATATTTCTGATCTGGTGCCAGTTTCACTCAGTCAACAAAGCTCAATTATACACTGTACATGTACATTTCTTTACCTCTCCTCCATATTTTCCAATCACGGCAGATTCAAAACCATTAGAACAAGCAGAAACAACCATAGTCCTGCAAAATGATGACTTGTCTTAAGAGAGTTTCGATATTATTACTTAATACTAGCCATGCACTGTAGTTGAAACTGATTCCCTAAAACAAACATAAACTACCATCTGAATCTATAGAGAAAAATCAAATTACATAACTTCTAACAGTTACTGTTTCAGTAATTTCTTGTAAGAGGAGAATCAAAGGATGCAGTCTAAACAAAATATGTTCCTAACCATTCAGCAATGTTCTTCAAATAGTACATTGGTTCTCGTTCTTCGCTCATCACATAATAAATATCATCAAAGTTAGTTATGGTCCTTGGTTCATTTTTCTAAAAGAGAAGAAAATAAGTTAGAGTGTTAGTAACATCAATTATGGAATATTATTGCCAAGAGGAGAACATTGGTTTAACATAGAGCAGTTCTCAATTGAGTGTCCATTGTAATCATATAATTCCTTTGGTTTTGGTTTAGGTTTTACTGTTAATGGTTTGAGATTGGCTGAAAACCACTCTTATTATCAAGTTGCAATTATGTGTTAGTTGTGATTCAGTTTTACCCTTGGCATGACTTGGTATTTTCCTCTGTTTCACATACAGTATATTACCATACACCAAAACAAAGGGAAATACCAAATTATAATATAGTTAAATGATATTTAACATAGTTAATGACTAGGAGCTAGTCTGATCAGTAGCGTTTTTATAGGCGGTTGTTAGTGTCTTGGCCGTCTGTGAGCGTTTGGTTAGCGTTTGGTGCATTCTGTAGCGTTTGATATACATGTAGTTCTATGAAATTTTACATAGTTTATGACCAGGAGCTAGTCTGGTCAGTAGCGTTTTTTTTTTGTAGGCGTTTGATAGTGCCTTGGCCATCTGTTAGCGTTTGTTTAGCGTTTGGTACATTCTGTAGCGTTTGCAGCAGTCATATGGTCGTGAGAGCCCTGGGGCTGACATTGCCCAGCGATATTTTTGGTTAGTACATGTGTTGTCGTCCCATGTGCTCGCAGTGTGTTCATCGCTCTGTTAGTGTGGTGTTGTGGATTGAATTATAGTTTAGCAGT